CCATCCATCCATCCATCCATCCATCCATCCATCCATCCATCCATCCATCCATCCATCCATCCATCCATCCATCCATCCATCCATCCATCCATCCATCCATCCATCCATCCATCCATGTAATTAATTACATATTTATTGAGTGGGAAACTTCTAGCTGGTCAGGTTGCTGCTGGATTGCAGGTCCCATCAATCCAGCAATGTTGGAAGCAGCAGCGCCGAAAGCTCTCCAAGGATGTTTTGCCCATCCTTGATGAAAAGCAGTGCCTCATTAAACTCTTATCAATTTACTGAAGGTAACAGTTAAAAAGACTATATGTGTTTCAAGACTGAATATACCACGGAGAATAATGGGGATCAGACCGAGCAGCAGCATTTGAGACTTAGGGGGGAAAATGACCCGTCATTTTTTCCTCCTGCCATTTCAACTCTGCTACAGAGGTTGTCTTTATAAAAGGTAGATGAAAACAACAAATGGTAAATGCAGATGTATATCAGATGACCCTCCTTGTGCCTTTCTAATTGTTTTCCTCTAAATGCCCAGTAGATGGAGACATGATCATGACAAGTTAAGTCGCTCCAATAGCTTCTCGGATAGGAGCAAGGCTTCCCACCATGGCTTCACGTACAGCCTGAGCAAAATCATTTTGATCGGGAAAAATTCCTTTTGGAGCATCTTGCATCCTTTCAAAAGAAAAATGAGTGAACAAGCATGCAATCTGAGCATCACGATCCGTGGTCCTCTTAGTGTAGTAAAACTGGAGGGCAGCTCTTTACCTCGACACACTCTACCTCACAAATCTGTAACCTGTACGCTGTTATTACAGCCTTTCAAAAGAAAAACGAGTGAACAAGCATGCAATCTGAGCATCATGATCAGTGGTCCTCTTAGTGTACCAAAACTGGAGGGCAGCACCACAACCATTTTTTGGGGGGGGGGGGCTGAAGGAAATGACAAAAACAGAGACCCATCCTAAGACGACACACTCTACCTCACAAATCTGTAACCTGTACGCTGTTATTACAGCCTTTCAAAAGAAAAACGAGTGAACAAGCATGCAATCTGAGCATCATGATCAGTGGTCCTCTTAGTGTACCAAAACTGGAGGGCAGCACCACAACCATTTTTTGGGGGGGGGGGGCTGAAGGAAATGACAAAAACAGAGACCCATCCTAAGACATTCTGGTGCTTGAGATGGAATAGCAAATGGTCCCCACCCAAACCAGCCATGTTGTACTTGAGGTAGGAAAGAATCTCCAACATTGGCAGTGAAAATACAATTAAAAATACAGAAAATATCGAGCAGGCAGGCGTCCTTTCATGAAACCCAAATTTGCTGCCTCAGGCAGTTGTCTCGTTGTGCCTAACAATAGGGCTGGTCCTGGCTTCATTATGAATGCAAAACAAAAGAAAACATTTTTTTAAATTTTATTTTATTTTTTACATAAAGGGTGGAACATTTTTAAAATTTAATTTAATTTTTTACATAAAGGGTGACATAGGAACATGGGAGTTAGGGTTTGTGAGGGAAGGGGATTTGTGAGGGAGAGAGGAAATCATAGCATACTAATATCCAATCTATACCTATTGCCATATCAAATCCAAAATCATTCTATTTACTCTTTTCTGCCTTGTGTATAAGGTTCTCATTTCACTATATATATTCAGCTCCTACCTGTTAATTCAGTCCATTTATAAAATAAGTCCCATCTTTCTGTTGCCCTTCATGAGGAGAACAGTAACATGACTGAAACGGCTTGGGTAACTCTGAGGGAGCGATGGCTCATCCATTAAAAGGTCCTGGACAAGAATCGTGCCCGTGTTTTCTCACCACAGGGCTTGTCTTGATGGATTATGTGAACTCACTGCAGCTATATGGTCAGTTCCTTCATGCAGCACTTCATTTTTTTTTAATTTTTGCTTTTCTTTAGCTTTTAGTGGATTCGTGGGAATAACCTGCTGTGACCGTTTTGGTGGCTGCTGATTATCTTGAATGGCCCGAGTCACTAGAATTAGAGAGGGTTTTATGCCACAAGGTCTGTTCAGCTTTCTTTCTCTTCATTTCCACATTTTTTTCCCTTGTAAATTTGAGGAGCCTAACCTAATCTTCTTTTTGCCTTTTCTTCTAATGTATTTATTTGAGTAATCGCCTATTCGTTTTCTGTGGGCCTTAATGTGTGAGGCAGCCACACTTCTCTTTACCTCAACACACTCTACCTCACAAATCTAACCTGTACGCTGTTATTACAGCCTTTAAAAGATGAGGGTGGGTAATACCTTTAATCATCATCATCATCATCATCATCATCATGATGATGTGCTGTCTAGTCAATTCTGACTTATAACAACCCTTTTCAGAGTTTTCATGGTAGAGAATACTCAGAAGTGGTTTACCATTCCCTTCCTCTAGGGGGAGACCTGGAACTGTGCAGCTTGCCCAAGGCTACCCAGGCTGGCTATTCTCCGTGGAGGCATAAGTAGGGAATCGAACTCTTAACACCTGGCTTCACAGCTCGATACCTAACTCACTGAACTATCCTTTATCAGACTATTAAAAATTCTTTGAACCAATTGGGGTTTGGTGGTAGTTTTCTGCATACCATAGCTTGTGTTTTGCCTTCTTTCACCCAATCAGCAGCCAACCCTCAGCTCTTCCTTCCTAAGCTGGTCCTAATCTTTCTCAGAATTTCTTGCTTATTCGATTGTGTGTCTTTGTTCATCTCAGTGTTATTTTATAGCACTTCTGTTACGAATAAAGGCACTTCCTTTATTCCCTTACACCCTCCCCACATTCTGACCCTAATGTTTTAGGTTCTGTTCAATCTTGATTTCACTTTGTATTGCCCAGTGTGTCTGTGCTGTCTTTACGGAGTAGATCTTGTCAGTGTACAATCACTACACATACATTACAGAGACAGCCACCATGCAGGAAAACAGCTTATACAGTGGTGCCTCACTTAACGACGATAATCCATTCCAGGAAAATCGCTGTTAAGCGAAAACATCATAAAGCCAAATTAAAAAAAAAACAATTGAAACACATTGAAAACCGTTGTGTTCCAATGGGCTAAAAACTCACCGTCCAGTGAAGATCCTCCATACGACGGCCATTTTCAGTGCCTGTATAGCGAGGAATCTGTCCCTAAGCACAGCAGGGCGCCATTTTAAGCACCCGGTGGCCATTTTGAAAACCTGACGATCAGCTGTTTTTGATCGTCGTAAAGTGAAAATCGGTTCCTGAAGCAGGGAACCAATCATCGCTAAGCAAAATTCCCCCATTTAGACCATCATTTTGCAATTGCGATCGCAAAAACATTGTCGTAAAGTGGATTCATCGTAATGCAGAGTAATTGTTAAGCAGGGCACAACTGTATATTAAGCAAACTTGAAGCATATTTAAAAGGAGATTGTAAAGGTGTATAACACTGTAACCACTGCACCTATCTATATGGAACCTGCCAGAAAAGACTACACTCCCACATCACCACCCTTAATGCATTTATGAATAAGCAAAAACATTATTACTGTTTTAACGGGAAGAAAACCCATAGAAGTAGCCAACGCAAACCTATCTGGCTGGGGTTTGGCAAGAAAAAGTACCCCTAAATGAATTGCTGTTGGACTGTTGTCCAGCCTCCCTGCTCATTTTTAAATTTTGGCTTTGCCTGTGTCTCCTAATCTGGAGGCTTCTTCAAGGCTTCTGTATCCCAGTTAGGTCCAGAGAGATCTGTGCCCTATTTGACTAAATTCTTGTCCCGAATCTAAACCAATTCACAAAATTTGTAAAGCCAATGTGTCAAAGAAGCAAAGTGGCTGTAATGTTTGCCTTTTGTTCTACACGAAATTTGGATACATCACGGAGCTTAAAGAGGGAAGGAAACCTGTTGAATTTCAGGTGCTGGGTTTCTGGGTTATATACAAAGCACCTTGAAAATTTGCGTTAAAAATAAGCAAAGAAAGAAAAGCAAGAGGCAGAAGCAATCTGTTCCT